TGTTTAACTTGTTGTCCACGAGGACTCCAAGATCTTTTTCACACGTACTGCTCTCAAGCCAGGTGTCCCCCAGTTCAAAAGCATCTATCTTCCTTCACTCAGTCTTCCCTATGGTCCACCTCTCACATCCATAGGTGACTATGGGAAATACCATTGTTTTTTCTATGTGGATCTTGGTTGCCAGTGTGATGTCTCTACTCTTCACTATTTTATCAAGATTGGTAATTGCTCTCCTCCCAAGAAGTAAGAGTTTCCTGATTTCCTGGCTGCAGTTTGCGTCTACAGTAATCTTTGCACCTAGAAATACAAAGTCTGTCATGGCTTCCAAGTTTTTTCCCTCTATCTCCCAGTTTTCAATCATTCTTGTTGCCATAATCTTGTTTTTTTATGTTTAATTGCAACCCAGCTTTTGCGCTTTCTTCTTTCACCTTGATTAGAAGGCTCCTCGGCTCCTCCTCGCTTTCGGCCATCAATGTGGTGTCATCTGCATATCTAAAGTTGTTAATGTTTCTTCCAGCAATTTTCACCCCAGCCTTGCATTCGTCAAGCCCTGCACATCGCATGACGTGTTCTGCATACAAGTTGAATAGGTTGGGTGAGAGTATACAACCCTGCCGTACGCCTTTCCCAATCTTGAACCAGTCTGTTGTTCCATGGTCAGTTCTGACTGTTGCTACTTGGTCCTTATACAGATTCCTCAGGAGAGAGACAAGGTGGCTTGGTATGCCCATACCACCAAGAACTTGCCACAATTTATTATGACACCAAAACAAGGCGGTGATCCTTTGCTGGAGTGTCAGCCAATAGGATAAACAAAACAATGGCCCACCAATGGGAAACTCTCAAGAGTTTCTTCCTGAAGAGTACTGGGGTTTGTATCTTAGGGAATTTAAAACTGCGCAGGCCTCACTAAACTGAGGGAGATGTTGACAAGCTGGAAACTGTTGAGAGGAGGGGGACTAAAATGATCAAGGGTCTGGAGAAGAAGCCCTATGAGGAGCAGCTTTTATTTTATTTATCGTGTCAGGAGCGAACCAAAACAGTTGTATTGCAGTAAAAAAAACCAGATGAACAAACAAACAAAACACAAAGTTTGCAGACTTGGTATTCTATTAAATGTCCTTTGACCAGTAGCTGGCCACTTGGAGTGCCTCTGGTGTTGCTGCAAGAAGGTCCTCCATTGTGCATGTATCAGGGCTCAGGTTGCATTGCAGCAGGTGGTCTGTGGTTTGCTCTTCTCCACTCGCATGTAGCCCCATTTCTGCATCTCGTGGTGCCAGAGCGCAGTCTGTTCAGCACCTTCCAAGTCGCCCAGTTTTCTGTGTGCCCAGGATGGAGTCTCTCATTTGGTATCAGCCATTGGTTGAGGTTCTGGGTTTGAGCCTGCCACTTTTGGACTCTCGCTTGCTGAGGTGTTCCAGCAAGTGTCTCTGTAGATCTTAGAAAACTATTTCTTGATTTAAGTTGTTGACATGCTGACTGATACCCAAACAAGGGATGAGCTGGAGATGTCACTACCTTGGTCCTTTCACTATTGGCTGCTACTTCCCGGCGGATGGCAGGTGGTACAATACCAGCTAAACAGTATAATTTCTCCAGTGGTGTAGGGCGCCGACACCCCGTGATGATGCGGCATGTCTCATTAAGAGCCACATCCACTGTTTTAGTGTGGTGAGATGTGTTCCACACTGGGCATGCGTACTCAGCAGCAGAGTAGCATAGCGCAAGGGCAGATATCTTCACTGTGTCTGGTTGTGATCCCCAGGTTGTGCCAGTCAGCTTTCGTATGATATTGTTTCTAGCACCCACTTTTTGCTTGATGTTCAGGCAGTGCTTCTTGTAGGTCAGAGAACGGTCCAGAGTGACTCCCAGGTATTTGGGTGTGCTGCAATGCTCCAGTGGGATTCCTTCCCAGGTAATCCTCAGAGCTCGGGATGCTTGTCTGTTCTTAAGGTGAAAGGCACATGTCTGTGTTTTAGATGGATTAGGGATCAGTTGGTTTTCCCTGTAATAGGCAGTAAGAGTACCTAGAGCTTCGGAGAGCTTCTGTTCAACCATCTCAAAGCTCCCTGCTTGAGCGGTAATGGCACGATCATCAGCATAGATGAAACTCTCTGTCCCTTCTGGCAGTAGCTGGTCATTTGTGTAGATGTTGAACATGGATGGAGCGAGCACGCTCCCCTGAGGCAGGCCATTCTTCTGTTTCCGCCATCTGCTTCTCTGGCCCTGGAACTCAACAAAAAAGCTCCTGTTTTGTAGCAGGTTTCCTATGAGACGGGCGAGGTGGTAGTCCTTTGTGATATTATGCATTTTTTCTCAGGAGGAGATGGTGGTTTACAGTATCATAAGCCGCTGACAGGTCTATGAAGACAGCTCCTGTAATCTGCTGCCTTTCAAAACCAAAATGGGTAATTAAAATGGGCAATTGCTCTGGCTAGTCAGGTGAGGAGGAAGGAGAGGTAGGGAAAAGGAATACCCACCATTTAAGGCTCCTTCCACACAGCTGAATAAAATCCCCCATTGTAACGAAATGTCTAATTATAACGTGTTTTAAATATGTTTATAAACTGGATATATATTGCAAGTAGGCTAGGTTAAACTGTAGCTGCTTGCTGGCTGAGTTCCCATAGCAACGTAGATTGTGTTAGATTGGTTAGAGAGAAAGTAGTTGCCCTCCAACTACAGGCAGTATTGGATGACACACACTTCCTTGACCCATTTCAAACCATTTTCAGAGCAGGGTACGGAGTCAAGACTGTTATGGTTGCCTCAATGGATGATCTCTGTCTCAACACTGACAGGAATACACTGAGATTTTGATACCATCCACCATGATATCCTTTCTGGAACACCTGGGAAGGTCGGGAATTGGAGCCTCTCAGGCAGGTTTCAGATGGTGGTTGCTTGGGGATAGCTGCTTCTACCCATATTCAAAGCCTCCATGGGATCAGGGATCATGAATTATCATGGTTCCCAGTCATACACAGGCTTCTAAGAACGTTCTGCTGACAATATATAGTACACACTTCCACAAAAGAACTACAGAATCTGTTTGAAAGATGTTGCAAAAGATATTTAATCAATCCCCTGCCATGCAGACAAAAGTTAAAGCACTTTTGAAAGACAGTCATCCAACTTCCGTTTAAACACCTCCTAAGAAGGAAAGTTATCCATTTACTAAGGCAGCTTATTCCATTTTTGAAGAGCTCTTACAGTCAAATTACAAAGAGTAATAAACAGCAATAAATAAGCAATAAACATGTACAGTAATAAAAAAATAAAGGAACAAGAGTATAAAACCGCTTTCATTGGGATGTCGAGGGTAGGACTAATGTATGTAACACTGTACAACCCTTCCCATGTTTATTTTGAATGCCCAAAGGAAACAAGTATTTATTTCCAGGCTGCTGGATATTAACATTTAGAAACAGAAGTGCAGAGAAAAGATCACTACACATCTGCATGCTAGAAAGTGGCTTTGGCTTTCAAAAAGTACAGTCTCTGTATCAAGCCTTTCTGTACTATAATGCTACATCAAGATACAAAATACATTATAAACCTATTTCACTTCAAGAGGAAAATGAACACCTTTGATGCTGTTTTCGCCCCTGAGAGCTGAGAGTGAATTGCCACAAAACTAGCCCTTAGTGAATTTGATTTATTTTTTAAAAAGGAAACATTTAATTTTGTCCAACAAATTCAACTGAATAATTGTTCCAAAATGTGTAACTGATTTGAAGATCACACTTCACCAATCCTTCTTCTTGGAGGGTTGCCTCTCAAATAAAACTCCTGAGATGTAGTACTTTCGTGTTTGGTACAAAATATTTTACAAATGTTTATATATTTGTGTCTATGTAATAAAATATCCTATGACTCATCACTTCTATCTTTAGAAAAGATAAAGAGTCAAAATTTTAATAACAATGCAAAAAAGTGGCTTGTGCATCTTAAAAAACACTGGACGTAGAATTTAAATGCAAAATAAAATTATTTGATGTTTTAAGTGGAATGTATAATTAAACAATACAAATTACTTCAGTATGCAGTTCCCACATAAACACACTTCCAAATTCTGTACAACAATTCTATACAATGTCAAGAAAAGTCTTGACACCCTTACATTCATCCTCACTCTGAAATGGCAGTGTAACAAACAAACAGTTGTTATGAGCTCTACTGTTTAAGTAGAGTTGACCTGGTGTACATATTAACTGAGGTAAATTTACTATTTCAAGAAGGAATAACTTCATGATTATTTCAAATATGATAGTAAATACATTTTTACTGCTGTCTTTCTTATACCCTTAGAATGCGAATCCTGCTTTTTATTGCCGTTTTATCAAAGAACCTCCTTTCCTGAGATACTCGGGCAACTTCTGATTATGGAGAGTCAAACGATTCACCTACAATAAAACCCCCCCCCACCCCCGAGATCTCATTATGGGTTGTTATTTCTGATTTACAGCAACCTTAAGGTGAACCTTTCACAGGATTTACTTGCTAAGATTTAATCAGAGAGCATTGCCTTTGCCTTCCTCCAAGGCTGAGTATGGCTTCCCCAGATAACCCAGTGGGTGTCCATTGCTGCAAAGGGGTTCAAACCCTGGTCTTCAGAGCCACAGTCCAACTCTCAAAACCATGTTACTTGAAGCCTCACAAATAGTTAAAATACTATACAAAAAGCATTTTACACAGGAATGAGTGTATACAAATCCTATTTAAATGCAAGGACCACATGAACATATGCTGGGAATGTGTGTAACTTCCCCAAGCCTCATAACAAACACAGTTCTGTTTCAAGTTCTGCATATGACTAGTCACTTCCTGCATCTAAATACCTCGAGGATAGGAACTTCTCCACAGGCCAAGCAGTCAGTACTTCTCAAAACACTCCTGTACTTTTCGCCTTTCTTGGCACCTCCAGAGAAACAGAAGCAAACTTGAAGTTGTTCATGCACACTCCTTGAATGTAATATATTGTGATGATTTGCAGCTATAAATGTAGCTTAACTCGGAAGTCACTGACAGAATGTTCATGTGCAGCTTTTTTTTAAAGCACTTGATCCATGCACATCTAACAAAGGCCATTCTTCCAAGAGAAAACTACAGGATGTTTGACATTCAACCTCATGCAACTGAAGTTTTGAGCATAACCTATGCTACAAGATGCTTTGTGAAGTGTGTTTTAGACCACCGTATATTCTTGGTGTTAATATAAAAGTTCTCAGAACTACATTAACTACTGTTTTCTACAGTATTGAGTCAACTTTTCAAGGAGCAAAGAAACATGTTATCCATAACAGCACTTCAGGCCCTTATGATAACTCTCAAGAACCCTTGAAATTATTATTCTGATGTCCACTAATTACATTCTTGCACTAATACTTGTTATTTGTCAATACTGTAGTCTACAATGGAATAAAAAACTAAAGAGATTTTAAAAAGTGATTTCATTGACACAAGGACTGAATTTCTTCAATATCCAGCATTTCAGAGTTCCAGGTTCTTCAGTTGTTCATATGTCACAAAGAACTAGAAGCAGTTATTAAGGAAAATGAAATGTACAATCTTTCTTATAAACAAGAGCACACTCATGGAAAGAACGAACATTAAGTACACACAGTTTGCATCTACATGTCTTTTCAGCAGACTATTTGTCAGTAGTTTATTTTCCTTGGGACAGATAGGTTGGGTGAATGCATCTGGCTATGAAAACAATTTCTTATTTTTTGTTCGAACAGTAATTTTCCACCTCATTTCTCCTTTTCACACCCATCCTGATTTTACGCCTCAGGATTATGGAACGATTGCGTAGTTTTAGTTTGTTATCATTAAACAAGGAAGGTATAAAGAACAACAGCCATACAAATCTTTATTGATCTCTGACCTCCATTCCATGTTTAATAAGCCTTCAGCCTACCATAAGAAAATAATGTGCTAGCATGTGTGGGAAGACTATATTCTGGACTTTACTGTTATCAATGTTCTTTATACATTCAGTTTCACTCAATAAACTACTGACCCACAATAATTTGTACATGTTTTGTAGAGATTATGTTATTTTATTTGATTTAGGCTATGTGGTATGTCAAACCCATCCCTCAACCCCCATCATTTTCTCGCCAGACTAATCAGCCTCATAAAACATCTAATTTCATCTGAAACACTATACTCACAGTTCCTTTTAATAAATAAGCCAATTAGCTTGCAGCATAAAGTCCCTAGTTGGTTGTTTTTGCACCTACAAACACTCCTAAGTCACATAGGTTCACACCATAGGAATCTGAAGCAGAATTTGGCATAAATGCCATGAATGCAGTTGAGCAACATACCTCCACAAAACGCATTAAAATACCAACTGCACACTAACAAATCTCTTCTGCTGCTCACTTGCAGTCTCTGCTTTAGCAAGATGTTCTTCCATTATTCACAATGGAAATAGATTAAAAACAAGTAAATTCTATTTGTAATTTTTGCAGCAAATATCACAGAAGTGATCTGGATACTGTTACAATTTGAAAGTATCCAAATAATTCTGCATTAGAAATTGTAAGTGTATATGCAGAGAGAGAGAGAGAAACAGGGAGAGAGATAGCTTTGGCATGGTGAATAGACAAAATGAATATAAGCTTATTGAGAAAATAAAGGTCTAATTTATAGTTAATTTATACAAAAATACATACCAATCTATTAGATCTGTAAGACTATTCTTGTTACTGACCTAGGGCAGTTATTTCAAGTTGTAAACACTCTGCAACAAATTGATCAATTTGTTCAAAAGCTTAAGGATATCAAAAGAATATAAAGTATTTTTAAAGATATTTTGATATAAATCATTAGTGCTATACATTCATTCCTACAGAATTCACATTCATGTTCAAGCTCTTATGAAAAAGGATACAATAATATTCCAAGGGCCAAGCCTCAACCAGTTCGGCCAGAATCCTTTATACAGTGCAAAAAACCCTTCATTTTTCCATGTCTGTTAGAAAAAAAATGAATTTAACATTCTTATAAAACTATATAAGGACTAATGATAGGAGAACAATCCATACCATCTCCCCCACTATTTACCTATCTGCTAATCTGTAGACAAATCCTTGCGTACTCATCAAAGATGTACATTTGCAGGCCAATGGAGGGCATGGGGCAGCAATCCATTAATTCTTCTCCTCATGTGCCTCCTTCACTCATACATATAAGAAGGAACCTCTTCCAGGATTTCCAGAAACATTAAAACACAACTAACAGACAGTTGCTTTCCTTGCCAGCTGCACTGAGACTGGAGCGATGAGGGAAGCAATCAAGACAAGTTTTCCAAGAGCCATATTTATATATCTAGGTTTCAGGGCAGCTCATAGTTCTATAGCCAGGAAATATGCAACTCGAACAAAACAGCTGCCAAAGATCCCTTTTGGGGGAGTGTTTTATATGGTGATCAGACCTATTCCAATCCATTTAACAGTAGAAGGGAACATTTTTAAACACCTAAATAATGATCTCCCCTGTTGGTATTCCAGTAGCTAGAGGGGTCAGATGGAATTGCAAAGGTCACAGGCAAACTGTGGGTTCCATTATTTCCACTTTGGTGTATATTACGATGAATGAGGTTGCACAAATCTTGGGTATGCACACACCTGTTCTGTTAGTTAACATAATACAATAAAGTTCTTGTCCGAATGTTAGAACAAACTGTAGTTCCATTCTATGTATGAACCTGAGAAAATGAACACAGTTACTCACGAACAATTATCACAGCCGTTTCATCTTTAACTTGCCATGGTTAGAAGACCATATCTAACAGAGAACTGCAGCTTGACCTCAAATGAAACATTTTTTCACTCTGTTTCATATACAGATAGACGGCAGGGGGTGTAGTTTCATTTAAAGCATTATTTGAGCCTATTCTACAATACGAAACACGTTGGATTCATGCCTGGCTACGTCATATACTATACAATCTCTATACAATCTCAACTTACTTGAAGCAAGCAATCTAAAGTACTCTTATAGCCACACTGGGTTCCATTTTGCAAGGTGCTCTGATTCATCATCCTTGTTCTCACAACATCAATGGGATTAGATGCCAGAGCTCCAGCTAAGCCACAGGTAAAGCTTGCTCTAAAAGAAATTCAGATTATTATAATTACTAAAATTATCCCCTCCTTGTACAATGAACATGAAATATGATACAGTTTTATAGTTGATGTGAGATTTTTTTTTCATTGTCTCAATATATGTCATAGGACAGTATCAAAAACATGTCTAGAAAAATTCTTTTTACTCTTCTGGTGAGTGTCAAGTCACACATCTTGATATGGCTTAATTTCTTCTCTTTTTTTAATAAACAGTTTATTTTAGTTATGGTACATAACAGAAAAACAAATAACAACAGATATAGTCAGATAACAATATTTTTGATGTATACATGCCTATCTACCTTAGTCAATCAACCAGTTTTAAGTTACCTAACTTAAAACATATAGACTTGCTATTCAGTCTAAGCTTTCTACTCAATTTTTCCCATAACATTCAGAGACCAACACACAATGTATTACACATAACAGACCACACATTCACCCAAAACCCCTATCCCACACAGAATAAAACCTCTTCCCCATGACTTCCAACAGTGAAGCATTATGAAGCCTTTAAGCCCATTTATCTACCCTTGTTCATAGTAGACCTAAATTCCTAATGGAGCTCCTTTATATTACTGACTCTATATTCAGATATACGGGAATATATGCTAATGGATAAATTGACCAATAACAAGAGGAACAAAAGTAATGAGGACTTTTTAGAAAAATGGAAGTTGGCCAGGACGTATCTGGATATGGCTTAATTTATTTAATAAAAAGGGAAATTATAGAGAAAAGAGGAAGCACACAGAGAATGTCAGTAATACAAGAGAGTCTGAAGGATAAATATTTGTTTATTTTTTCTATTCACTTCTGTAAGTTTTAATACAAATACAGGGGATCAGAAGGAAAGGGCTCCAACCTTTGGCAGCAGCAGGAGTGGGAAGAGGAAACAGAATGGTGGTAAAAGGGATAAAAATCTGGCAACAAATGGAGTGAAATGGAAGGAAGGGGGCTTCAACGCTAGATATGTCTTTCTTATGGGAAGATGGTAAGGAGTGAGGAGTTGGCACTGCTGGAAGACTATTAAAGGACAAGTTTATTTAATTAGTGAATGATTCAATTTGCAAAAGAGAAACCCACGAATGTGGGGGGCCAACTCTATTTCATTTTAATAATGCTGAATCATTCCTTCCCTTCCTGACAAAATAAGCAGCAGCAACCAAACAAAATATCCCACCAAGAACAAAAGGCTTTAAAAAAGGAAATTAGCCACCATTTTTAAACACTTACATAAAGTGAGTATAGATTGTATCTCCCATGAATCCAGACATAATTATATGCTTCTTAGCAAGATCATATACTGGCAGTTCCACTCCAACAACAACAGCAGCTCTTTGTGCAGTAAGAGATACTCCCTGTTAAAAGGTTAAAGCAAATATTGGAATACAAAGTAAACTGTTCCTCAGCTTTATTTTCACTTACTGGTTCTTATGAATTCTACTGATAAATGGATACAGAATCATCATCGGGTTTCACAGTCTAGGAGATGTTTATCAACTGAGTTTTTGGACCATCAATGACTTTGATTCTATCAAAGAATCTAGGAAGCAGTTAGATAACATGCTGCTTTTTGAAACTCGCTATTGTGAACCATCTATGCTAATTTCATGCAAATACTCTGAAAGTTCAGTTGAAATAGCTCCCAGAAAGCCTAATACTACTGGAGCCACAACTGTTTTCTTTTCCAGAGATTCTGGGTTTAATATTAATAATAATGTATTACTAATATCAGCAACATTAATGTTACTATATTAATTATATTATTAGTAGCAACAAATGTATTTATATTGTATTTTTCCTTCAAAACTGGGACTCAAAATGTCCCAGTTAAAATATAGAAAAGACCAACAATAAAAAATAATGAAATCATTAATAATATTAAAAATAGGTCTAAAACATTGTGAGGGGTATTAGAGACCGTCACGCTACCATCCTCCTTCTCCTGCTGCTTCTGCCAAATTGTGGAGGCTGCTGGCTGCTCTGCTGACCAGCGGCGAGAAGAATGCTAGCAGTTGTGCAGTTGATCAGTCATCTGGCAACAGAGAGATGGCTGAAGACTCAGCGGGAAGCGGGGGCACACAGGTACAAAAGATGAAACAATAGCAGAGTCATGGAAGGAGGAGGCAATCAAAAAGAGGCAAGGATGTTGGACTCATCCTCCTCTTGGAAAACTGCTACCAAAAGAGGCCAAGACAGAGGAAGAAGAGAGGCAGCAACCCACCCAGCAGGTAAAACCTTTCTCAGAAAGAGAGAGAAAGTAGTTCAAGGAAGAGCTCTTCAGCACGCTCTCCCCCGGGTTTGCCTAGTTCATTCGCTCTCCTGAGCAGTAACAAAGAGCTGGGAGAGTCTCATCTCTCTATTAGCAGAGCAGCCCTGTTGACTGTACCTGCAAAGACTCTACAGTCCAGTCAGAAGGGAGTTGGTCCAACCAACCTTGGAAAGCAGCTAGAGGTCTCTGTCTTGCTCCTTCAGCTGTGGAGAGTGGCTCTCTAGGGCCTGGATGTGTAGAGACTTATCCTCCTCACCAGGCTTGACCACGCTGAGACCGGATAACAGAGGGGGACCTGATCTTGCCCAGACTTGCCCTCCTTCAGGCAGCTGATCCTGGTCCAACCTAAAGACCGCTCTTCCTGCAAGGGGAGAGCTTGGCAGGCTTTATCCCCATTCTGACCCCTCATTGAGCAAATGCTGGGAAAGCAAGGCCCTTGAGCTATGTAACGATTTGGAACCAATAAACATTTGTGAAGTATAATTCTCTGTCATGCTTTATTGGTAAACCATTAATACAGAGGACTGTGGTATCACAACCAGTGTCAAACCGAAGGTTTTAATCACATTATAGAGTAGTTCTTCGGATAAAACACCTTAGTACCAATCATCCAAACATATTAATAAAATATATCCAATTTTCATTTATTTCCCATTAACTGTTCAGAGAGAAAAAAAATCCAAATATGAGTAGAATCTTAAGAAGAAAATATTGTCCCACACCAGAAGAAATCAACTGAAAGCAAATTTTTAATTTCCATTTACCTCTAAACAAATCTAAATGCGTAAAAAATCTTTGAAGTGTTTTATGTGAGTTTGATACATAAGTAATGAATGTACTTGCTATCAACTTCTACACTGCATAATAATTGATATGTACCTGAATTAACATTTGAGACATCTGAATGTAATAACTGAGCACTAACTTGCTTCTTGCCAATGGAAAAATTATGGTGCAGTGGGGGCACAAAGAAAGCATGAGAAAGACAAAAAAGAATTGAGGCTACCTGGTTAAGAAGATAGTAATATCCGTGATATAAAATAACAAGATAAGGATACTAGTATGCCTGAGAGGCATACTGGCACCTGGAACTATGGTCTGCAATCCTGTTGATGACAAACACTTGCATAGCCTCATTTTACACCAACATGTGCAACTTTACAGAGATTGTACAGCCCCATTCCATGAAGAGCTTAACCTGGAGGACCTCATAAGAGGTTCAGGAGGGCAACCAATAGTTCCTTTTCTCAGCTGTGCAAAAGCATGGTGCTTTCAGGCTCCATCATCCCCCTGGATGGTGCTTTCAGGCTCCATAATCCCCCTTGATGGTGCTTTCAGGCTCCATCATCCCCCGATTGGCCATGGAGTAGAACCCGATGCCAGGGCTTATTCCTGCATCCCAACCCCCTTTTTAATTGACACTTGGTGTGCTGAGTAAAATCATATACATTTTGTATAAAATGTCTGCGCTCCCAAGTTTAGATTCAAGTGATATGGACTATGGGATAGGATCAGTGCAATCCTCCCAGGTTTAGTCCCTTTGTTTGCCTTCTCTTTCTATTTTTAGAATTTCTTTGCATTTCCTGGCTAAATAATTTTAGTATTTTGTATGAGAGAAGTGAATACACATCCAGCTGGCAAGGCAGGAATTGAGCAGGGGGTGGGTGTCCACGAATAAAAAGACGTTAGGTTTCCATTAAGTCAGCTAATATGTAGGGAATAACTCAAAAGTGTGTGGATTGCTCCTCCTGACCCATCCAGAGAACAGCTTCGTTTATCATTTAAGTTTACAATTTTCAATCTACTGAATAAAATAAGTATTTCTGGTCATTAAAGTAAATACAAAAATTTACAAACAAATGTTTGCTTAATATACAGTAGTTCAGTCAGCAGAAAGGCAGAAAGTAATTTGACACTGAAACATCAAAATAACTATTTTGTATCTCTGTAGTTTATATTAACAATTTACCTTCCATAATCCTCTGGTACCTTCATTTTGATAGATGGTCATAAAGTTGCCAATCATTCCCCCTTGCATCACACTGCCTCGGGCCTGCATTCTGATCTGGGGAGCGGGGGGAGAAAATTTATTACTCAACAATAGTCATACAACAATTTAATGGTGAAACAAATATATCCTTTTCTATGGATAAAACGTATTCCTGGGTGAGAAATGAAATGTGGAGAATTCAAAAAAGTGGGTCTCTAAATCTTTTGCCTGGCAACTGGAATCACTGCAGATTGTTGAATGTTGCACTCCTTTAAAACAGCCCATTAAATACTACTAGGCCAAAATCAGCTTCATTGTAATAATAAAATAGTAACTTTTAACAGCCTGAGAATTTGTCTTCTCTACGTCCCTTCCATTGGGTGTCACTTTTTTGCATTTTCACAGGATAATCAGACAAAAATCTGAACCGCTGTGAGTCGCCTTCAGGCTTGAGATACAGCGGTATATAAGCAAAGTAAATAATAATAATAAATAAAAATACACTCTCTTATATTTTCTCCATGTTGACATCTTTCTGTTTTGTATACATTTAGAAATCATCCCAGTTTTGAGGGCAATTTTTCAAAATAAGCAGGGTAGAAACAGCTCTACTGCAGAGGTACTGTTTAGTAACTTGAAAGTTTCCAGAGGTCTGGTTGATATAAATTGGAAAATACATCACAGAAATGTAGACATTAATACACATAGAGGAAATATAGGCACCATCCCCTGTAAAGGGCAGGGAATTTTTGTCCAAGGGTTGCCATGAGGACTGCTAAGAATAATAAATTCCAAGGAAGAAATTCAAATGGATCTGGAGAGAAAAAAACACTAAACAAGAAGTAAACAATTTGATGGGTGAAAAATACCTTAACTTTGTGAAAACAAGACATATAAAGTAAAAACTCCTTGTTCTCTAACTGAAATCAGGACCAACTGCTCAATTGGAGTTTGCCAGTATGTTTCCTTCACAGCAGGTCTATCTGCTATATTTGGGATACTGTGGAATGCAGACTTAGATCATTCTTAAATTAAGCACTATGTGCGCAATCACTCAAAAAGCTCATGTGGCAAATGCTACGTGAGTTTCTTTTCTGCAGTTCATACCTTCAGGACATCTGTAAAATTAGCAATACACGATGAAATCTCATCTGACAGAACTCCACATAACACATTTATGCCTCTCCTTTGCATACTACATCACAGTTCAGTTAGACAGGATGATCCAATGTAATGTTTCCAATAAACTTCTCTCAGAAATGCACTGTACAATCAACTGTTTTTTTTCTTCTTCTCAGAATACTGCACCCCAGTTTAGTTAGGATGGTTCTGTAAGTATCTCCAGTGTTTTGAGGGTTATTGAACCTTTCCAGATAAAGGATACTCAACCCATATTTCATAAGCTTAAGGATTTCAGAAAATACAATACTAAGATTCCTTTTTCTGATCACATACATGGTTCTATTCCTACGACAATCACAGTTTGGGGTTTTTTTACCAGTAAGGTTTTGTCACTCAAAAAAGCTCATTTGGCAAATGCTGCATGAGTTTGTTTTCTGCAGTTCTTACCTTTAGGACATCTGTAGGGTTAGCAATACATGATGACACCACACCTGACAAAACTCCACATAACACATTTACAGCTAGGGTTTCATCTGTTTCAAAACAAAAGCATTTATGTACAAAATAAATGGCATCCTGTAAGCCACAGAGATCAATATTTTGCATGATTCCAAAAATAGCAACTGAACCTACCAATACTTTTATTTTGGATCCACTGTATACCTTTTATGAACCAATACTGCAAAGACACTAGTTACATCTAACATAAGAATCTTTAAATAACTATCCTTTGAAAAGTTATTTAAATAACTCCACCCCAAAGGGGCAGGACAATTGGTTTTGAGCTTCATCATAGGACTTGATACCAGAAAGAAGGTAAGAGGACTCCTATATACAAGACTTGTCACACAACCACAGCTTCGTACACTTATTAAGATCCATGCTAAGTTTGCCTGTTAATATACTGCATATATGTACCATATATACTCCAGTATAAGCCAAACCAAATATAAGCCGAGGCACCTAATGTTGCCACAATAAACTGGGAAAACTTATTGACTCGAATATAAGCCAAAGGAGGGAAATGCAGCAACTACTGGTAAATTTCAAAAATAAAAATAAAAATTGATACCAATGAAATTACCATATATACTCGAATATAAGCCAACCTGAATATAAGATGAGGGGAGCTTTTTCAGCCTAAAAAAATGTGCTTAAAAACTCAGGTTATACTCGAGAATATACAGTAGCTGGGGGGGGGGGAACCAATGAGACTTGCCTCTGCCTCATAGATTTCATATAAATTAGCTATGGCTTGCATATCTTGGAAAATTAAGTAACAGAATATAGAAACAGTGGAGTCAGAAGTAATATACACAAATGAAGTTAAGTTGGCCAGGAGATAGGAGCGGCAATTTAAATACAATCAAGGTTAGGAATATTCCTAGTAGCAATTATCACAGTTTACATAGTAGGGAGATTTAAAGAGCCAGTCATCACAATAAATGATGGTTTGTAGTAGTCAAGGAATGTATTTGCTCTTCAAAATATCAGTTACACAGATGTGAAATCTTTATCCACAAATATTCTGTATGATAAGAGTAATAACTGTGTCTTGAATTCCTTATATGTTTTATCATATTTTATGTTTAAACTTATGGATATTATACTGGGAAAAAATCTTTAATCGGTTTTATTATCAGATAAAATGAGGATGGGATGTAACTTTGCCCCATCTCCTACTTATTGATGACAAGATCAGTATTTCACTCCGTTGTTACAGAGTGCATCTAATTCATAGTACTTCAAATACTGCATAATTTACCACATACAATCCATTAGATAACAACTGTCCCATGTTTACATGCATATATGTTATCTGCTGATCTGTGTTTCTCTTTATAAATGTATACAACATTTGACATTTGTAATGCACACATGTTGGCCAGAACTCCTTCGGAGGTGAATTAGCAATACTGACATTGCTTTTAACAATATGATGGTGTAGCATAAGCCTGAAAATCTGCTCACCTTCTGGGTGCTCAATAAATATTCTTTTTAGGCTGTGGTAAGTACCAATTTTGATAGTTCCATATGAAGCCTGCCGAAGCATAGCAGGTGCAATTCTGGAAAGAAAGAGTGAAGAAAAAAAGCCTCCAAATGTTATTGCTTTCTTGAAATGAGATGGATGAGAACATTCCTTTTCATATTGTGGATTTATGAAAGCAGCATCACTAAAGCCTTTTAGAAACAGCATTCAGCATTAAAGACAACATGCAACAACGGGTATTGGCTGTTTAACGGATGCTCAATGGGTAGCTGCTGTTGAATGGGTGGCTGCTGTTGAAAATCACTAAGCATGTTTCATTTCACCCTGTTTCTATCATTTCAAATTAAGCTTCTTTTTTGCTGACTAGGGAGGTGCAGGTAGCATCTGCTTTGTGTCTGCCTACAACTTACAATAGGTCACATCTAACTTCCAGGCAGCTTGGGATAGCAGAGGGGACTGATTTGCCTCTCTGCTCCCTCAGCTGCTACTCAGTGTAAAGTGTTCAGCTGGACCAAGATATTTTGCTCACAGATAAACTGAGAATAACCCTAATCTGCCTATATGTAGTTGGACACCTGCTCTTACTTTCAATCTCAGACCTGAGTGAGACATCTGTAAGTTTATTTGCTCATGACTGAGGTCCCAGTGTAGCTTTGGTGTTGTATCAGGAAGTCCAGAGAATAAAGCTTCTTACCATAAGCTCCGATTGCTGCAGGCTTGTCATTTGGACAAGATGCCTGAATTATTCCACCTGCCTACATATAATTTAATCTATTCCAACCTTGATTGATTGTATCTACAAATGGACAAAATGACTTTAGAGAGGAGCGGGCACATTACAGACACAAGAGCCACACTGCCTCATTTTCACCTCTTCAAAAGCTCAGAAGATCCAAAGGATGCCAGCACAGCTGCCACTGTGGGTGACAAAAAATAACTTCCACATTTGGAAGAGGGTTCTGCCTGCTTTGAAGCAACACTCCCCAAAAGGATTATTTCAAGGCTTTTTACAGGAACTCTGAAGCAGTTGGCCATATTTTTGGCTTAAGGTGGTGGTGGTGGTGGTGGTGGTGGTGGTGGTGGGGGGGGGGGGTTAAGTGAGGGAGTGTCGGGGCCTTGGAGAATGTTGGTTCTCATGGGCTGTAACAGACACCTCCTCCATGATCCTTTCTCTCCTGTTAAGTGTAAATTATTGCAAACATCTCTGGGGACTGGGAGAAAAGTGCTCAAGCACATGATGGCTGCTTCCTGAAGAAACCAAATTATCTGGACCTATTCTGGTCTAATTTTAGGCCTTAGGAGAAATAGTTTTGGTCACCATGAGACCTGATGTAGAGGGAAAAATGTAGAACATCACCCTGGCAATTCTTCTAGAGCTTTTGATAATTCTAATCACAATATTATAATGGACGTTCTGTGTGGAATAGGAGTAAGGAAGAGTAATTCTGTATACACTAGCAAGGGAGAAGGTGGAAACATGTAAAATTTAGGATTGGAATTTGCACACGCTTCCAGATAACGTTGTACTGCAACTTCCATGAGTCCTAGCCTACACGGCCAATGCTGAGGAATGCTGACTGTTATAGTTCAACAACTTGTGGCAGGCCACTTAATACCCAATACCAATTTAGTCCTATGTTTGATTAGAAGTGTGGTACCGCAATGTTCCTTTCTGATTAGCATTTATTTGAAACCACTGGAAGAATAGATCAGGGATTCTGGAGCTAAACTCCGTTCACATTTATTCTTGTCAACAGATTTTGGCAAATCTATGCAGGTGCTGGACTACTCCTGAATACTTATACAGTAATGGGATGGATGGGGTCAAAAACCAAAGCTTTAGTCTTGATAAGATAAAGGATGCAGATTAGTGATTCCCAGGTATAGGAAGCACACTCTCCAGAAAGAAGCAGGTAAGTAAACGTGGAACTACTCCTGGATCCACTTTTGTCACCTTTGGAAATCAGAGTGCCTTTGGCTAACTTTGTCCAGACTAAGAGGTAAAAACTTTCCTGTACAGGAATTGCCTGGTTACAATTATTCATAGACTGCTTACTTTCTAATCTCAGCAATGTCCTCTATGTCGATGAATACTTTAGGACATAGAAGCTGCAGTTTAGCACAGAATGAATTGACCTAACTGCTGTCTGGCACAACGTATTTGTTTGTTTTTGGCAACCCATTTTAAAGATACTACGCTACCTAACATTGTGTTTCCTATTTGAGTTCAAGGACCTGGTGATGACATTTGAAATCCTACATATTCTGGGACCCAAAACTTGAAATGCATCTGCCTGTATACACCTAAATGCTGAGAACTCTGAGGCCATCTGCTGTATTCCACAAGTATGAGCAAAGCATTATCCAGGGACACAGAAAAAGTCTTTTCTCCAAGGGATCCCTACAGAGCTCTAATTGCCACTGACACTGGTATTAAAATTTGGCTGCTCACTGAAACTTTGAGAAAGCAAAAATATTTCTTTATTTTATTCTTTTTAAAAAAAATTATACATAACCATAATTACCATACCTTTTCCCCCTTTTCATTCCCTTCTCCTTCCCCACATCCACCCCGCCCTGGTTGACAACTTAATCCATTTGTCTCCCATTATATGAGCCTTTTTTCCATTCTATCCAATTTTTTCTTCCAGCAAAAAAAATATTTCTTGATTCTGTCCTGCTGGGTTTTGATTTGCTATCATTAATATTTTGTATAATTAGTTACAAATTATTCTTCTTACCTGGCTAACATACTTGATAGAGAACAGAATAGAAACATTGTCATTAAATCAGACTTTTGATTCGGCTACATAATAATAATGTTTTACATGTATTTTAAACTAATGTTTTATCTTTTGTATAATGTTGCATGTAATGTGTTGTATGTTGTCTGCATCAAACTGCTGCCATTGTAAGTCCCCCTTCAGGGGTTGAGAATGTTGGAAATAAATAAATACATTTAGTAAGTGAGAGATGAATTAAACTCTACAAGATACAAGTACCTCTGTATTTATCTGTATGCTTGTATGTTAGTTGTTTGAAACAACATAAGAGAACAGATGTTACATAAATTACCCAGAGTACAACGCTTTTGGTCCTTCTTCCCTGAATATCTTCACTAGCGCATGAATCATTCCACGGTAACGAATCTCTTTATGCTTTACATCATGTTTTTGACCTTGTACCTGGAGACGCGTTTTTGTCAGATCAATTGGAAAAGTACCTTGAAGACAAATAAAAACATAATGAGTCATAAATAATAAAACTATGTTTGTACATCTTAGAAATGTACAAAGCTAGTTGCTCACTTTAAGTGGTAAATAGCAGCAGTAGCTGCTCGAAGAGTCTGTGTGATGGTAGTAGATTCTGCAACTTGCAGTAGAGGGACTTCCACTAAATGAAGGCAGGCCTGGGCTCTGTGTTCATAGGAGGAATATTTTATGAAAAATATTTCAAAGGGTTTGTGAAAGAAGGAATTTTTGCCTGCAGTGAATGGATGCTGGCAGTCACTGTTCAGCAAGCCAGCTGAAGGGACATTGTAGATCGAATTTCAATTACTCAATCAGCCAGGGCTTTGAAGCTGCAAGGCTATTAAATGCTAATCAAGGTGGCCAATTGCAACATTCACCCCTGCCTCAAGGAGACAAGAGTTCTTTCTCCCACCCTGAACATTCCACAGATATATAAACCTCACTTGCCCAGTTTCCAACAGACCCTTCAACCTCAGAGAATACCTGCCATAGATGTGGGTGAAACGTCAAGAGAGATTTCTTCTGGAACATGGCTATACAGCCCAGAAAACTCACAGCAACCCAATGATTCCAGCCATGAAAGCTTTTGACACACATTCAATTACAAACATGTAAATCAGTGGACAACTTCTTGATTCCCTATGGCCTACCCAATCAATATTTAACTATGAATTTAAACTCATGTCCTGTATTTACTGTATTTTACTTTTGTTCTGTGACATCCAAGCCAGTTTACCAGCTGTTAGGATTTTTGGGAGTTGAAGGCGAAAAAATCTAGGGACCCACAGGTTGTGAACCACTGCTCTAAGGACCCTGGAATCTCAAAGGATCCGTTAGCTTTTGAAGGTGGATCATTTTAATAGGTCCTCTGCCCCAGCAGGGGTAGGTTGTAGCTGTGATAATAACCCTGACTAGATAGTGAAAGGCGTGTTGCAAGATTTATCACTTAGTGAAATATCTTAGAACATGGTTCAAATATTATCTGAACACAATAGGTTTATTTCTGGCTCATTGGACTGCATCCAAGTTCCAAACACTAGCTTTTGCTAACTGCTCCTAATGCTGCCAGTGCATTTGTCTTTGTTCCATTTCCAAGTAAAGTCAAAAACTGTATTAATTTTGCTCAGACACAGGTTTCTGCCTCCAAGTTGATGTGGAAAAATACCAGATGTAGAGGCTACCATTGCTAAGAGGTAATTGATCTTTCTGTTCTAGAAGGTCAATTAGCCTCAACACACTGAGACTGGGTAGAAGATTTACCAGAGCTAACAGTGAAAGAAACGTAATGCTTAACTTTTGGAACTCTTTGAGACATGGATGAACAACAGCTACACTTCTAATTTAATCATTTCCATCATTTTAACAAAACAATTCAGTGCATGTTTAGCAATTCATAACAGTCTGTAGTAAAGTAAGTTGATGAGGGCAAGGGGGAAGGAATTAGAAGACGGGACATGGGCGGTACGCACAACCCTACTCTACTCAGGAATATGGTTCTATTCTTTACTTTTTCTGAAAGGTTAGGTACAGCATTTATCCATTTGTATCCATTTACACATCATGGTAATTTGAGGTTAACTAGGTTATTATTTTTGAACAAATCACACACATGGACCAAAAAAAAGATCAACCCCAAAATCATGGATGAACTTATACAGGTCATTAGAGCACTTCTGTTTGTCACTTCTAGACTTTTGGAATGCATCTTTGAAAAAGGGTATCAGTGCCAGTTCTCTGGCACTTCCCTGGCGCAGCGGAGATAGCAAAGAAGTCAGTGCATCTTTGAGGCTCACTGGATAGACTAAGCTCTAGACTTAGCTTGCGCAAATAAAACCTTAAAAAGCCTCAATCCACTCTGCTCTCACTGTTGCAACAGCAGCTCTTTGGCATTCTCCCCTGGGCTTAGGGAGTGTAGGTGGTTGGGGCTTCTTTTAGGTTCTCCTTGGATAGACTAAGCTCTACCCTTGAGAGCTTTGTCCATCCATGGAGAACTTCAAAGAAGCACTGCCCTCGGCCCCTTCCATTTTCTATAATGGCCTTTTGAAGTTACTGGGCAGAAAATGGCAGTGACTTTCACCATTCTGTGGGAAAAAAATCCAATTAGCCTCATGTTCTGCCCTAAAGCTTTACCTTCAACTTACTCATCATATCAAACTCCACAATTTTGGCCCCAAAACCTTTCATTGACTTAAACATGAGTTTAACTTAAACCAGAGTACAGACTGCAGTTTTGTAACTTTATATAAATAAGTACCCTTTATATTGATATGTAAGTTAAAACATTTTAGTCAAACATCAACCTTTCCTCCCAAAAATGGAGGAACTGCACCTTAACTCATGTAAAAATAGGAGTGATCTCATCCTCTGAGTGGTAAAAAAAAGAGCTTAGTCCATCCTGGAAGAACATCTCTCCACCATGGAAACTGCTTCTAGTCGTTTTCAATGCATAGGTGAGAAAATGGCCACAGCAGATGCCAGGATCAGCTGGACCCCTGAGGCAGCTTCGGTGCTTTCTTCGCTCTTAATAATGATCCTTGACTTCCCCATGGGTCATAACAAAATCTATAATTTTGGCCTGAAAATCTAATCTCAACTTATACATGATGATTTATATATGAGTATATACAGTACTATATTCAGCTAAGGGCTTATAATCTGAATATAATGCAAGTGTTGTTAATATGAAGGAAAAGCCGTTTTAGAAGTAAGTAATTTACCACATTCTGCAGTGACTGAAGCTAAGCCTCCATACACAAATGGCTTCCAGTTCAAAGCTGCCATCGTCTTGGATGCTTCTTCCTTCTGCAGTGCAACAAAACAGAAGCACACTGTTCTTGAAAAAAATGCATAAAAATAAACTATAATGCATAATCATAAAACATACGACTTAGCTGAAATAGTAGAAAATAGTAGAAAATGCTAATTTAATGTAGACTGCAAAATTCTCTATACCTTTCTTATTTTCCTTTTGATTGAGCAAAACCATCCACTGAGTTATGTCAAATATTTCTACTTACAGTTCTAGGTTACACAGACCAATCTATAGGTTAGGCCCCTTCCACACAGCTGAATAAAATCCCAGATATTTAATTAAAAAACTCAGATATTCAATATCAAGGCAGAAAATCCCACAATATCTGCTTTGAACTGGGTTATCTGAGTCCACACTGCCATTTATTTCAGTTCAAAGCAGAAAATGTGGGATTTTATCCAGCTGTGTGGAAGGGGCCTCAGAATTAAGCCTTTACTTACAATGTAGAGCCAATGATTTGGGTACCTCAATTTTAAAATAATCAGGATAGTACATAAACTTTATTTTGTCTTCCTAACCTCTGAAGCATACAGTGATTGTGCATATTTTCTCCTGCCAATTTCCCTTCCCCTCTGTTTCCTATCCCTTTGTTCTTTTCTCACTATTTTCCCAGTTTATATTCTTTCACATTTCTGCCTGTCTATCCTTACTATTTAGAACTAAACAAAATTTTAAAACATATCAGCTGAAATTGACATATTTTCTTTTTTTTTCTTTACACTGATTCAATGACACACACAATGCCCACTCCATCAGGCCAGAATTTTAAATTTCTTGGTTTCTTTCCCTCTCGTTTTTGCTTCATTTTTGTAGCATCATGCCTAAGTATAGAGATGTTAAAGCCCAGTAAGAAAAATGGAAAATTAAGGGGAAACATAGATAATTTTACATGTGGAAGTTTTATCTTTGAGAAAAGCAGAAAAAATCTGGGGGAATATTTTCTCTCCTATCTAAAGATTATGATTGTCTAAAACATGCTAAATGGATCAATATAATTTGTTAAACAACCTCACATCTTATGTTACTAAAAGAGTAAAATAAGTAGTGGTCCTGATAGGAAAATAAATATTGCATATATATGAATCCCCCACCAACAACTTACTGTTTTTTTCCAATAAAAGAGGGAGGGCATTCCTTCTTACATCCAATGTTTAAAATTCCTCTACATTGTGTATGTTAAGTTCTGTGAGAGGTCAGGAACATGTATAACCTTTGTGCTAATAAAAAGTACTATCCAACTCATCTAAACACTGAAACATCCCCAAGAAAGGTGTCTTAGCTTTGCCAGTCAATGCCTACAGTACTGAACTAGAGGGACAGGTGGTCAGGCTAAATATTGAATAGCTTCCATCATTTAAAGAAAAAATTAAGCAGCAATATATTATGTGTCGATGTGTGCCTTCAAGTCTTTTCCTACTTATCCAAATACCTATCATAGTACTTTCTTGTCAAGAAGAGGTTTGCCTTTTGCTTTCATCTGAGTGTGACTTGCACAAGGTCTTCCATGGCTGAGCCAAGATCTGACCTCCAGTGTCCCCATTAACCATGCTGGCTCCTGCGTTTCGTTATAGCTGCTCACAAAGCAAGACATGATCCTCTCAAATGCGACAGTTAAGACAGATAGTATTGCTACATCTTAAGTGACTTTTGAGAGAAAAATACATTGTCTCTACAGTAGTTTTCCAAACTGTGTTGCAACAAAGGTGTGTCACGTGAAGGCAGGTCAGTCAGTTATTGTAATCCTAGCTAGTTGATTTAATTCATTTGCTTTACCTTGAGTACCTTCAGTTTGTAGTGTCCTCACACATTTCATTACTACAATTTATGCATGTGACCACACATGTTGTAAGGGGTTAGTTTAACCTCCGGCTGGCTACTAAAACTGTTGCGAAATGATGCATGTCTAAACAATGTGCCACCAACATGAAACGTTTGTAAAACTCAGATCTATGCTGTAGAAACAATGCACTTTGTCAATTTCTCTGCAATGCTATGAAATCAAGGGAGTTGTAATTTTACAAGGACTTTTTTTACCTCTGCTGTGGAGTGCTGGTGCCTCGCCAGACTGCAGCTTCCATGATTCCACAACTAAAGTGGTGCCAAACTGCATTCATTCTACAGTGCAGATACACCCTAAGGCACTGCTTGTGATATTCTTATACTCCAATTGTCCTCCAAAACTGGCATTAACAGGGAGAAGAAAAGGAACAAAACCTTAGGGGCCTTCCTGACAGGCCCTATATCCCAGGATCTGATCCCAGGTTTTCTGTTTATCCCAGATTATCTGGCAGTGTGGAATCATTATAATTAAAGAAGGAAACCTGGAATCAGATCCTGGGAGATAGGGAATATACAAAAATAGAAAAGATGGTAACTCAAAGGGGGACTAAAGAAGAGAATATAACATTAATAGGTACAATAAATGATATCTTTAAACTATTATTAATGAACGAACAGGAACAAGATTATTTGAAGGAAGTATGGGAAGTAGTTGTTTCAGAAAAACATCTACTTCTGCTTCATTGACTATTCTAAAGCCTTTGACTGTGTGGATCTTAATAAATTGTGGCAAGTTCTTGGTGGTATGGGCATAACAAATCACCTTATCTCTCTCCTGAGGCATCTGTGTAAGGACCAAGTAGCAACATTAAGAACTGACCATGGAACAACAGACTGGTTCAAGATTGGGAAAGGCGTACGGCAAGGCTGCATACTCTCACCCAACCTTTTTAACTTGTATGCAGAACACATCATGCGAGGATGTGCGGGGCTTGAGGAATGCAAAGCTGGGGTGAAAATGGCTGGAAGAAACATTCACAACCTCAGATATGCAGATGACACCACTCTGATGGCCGAAAGCGAGGAGGAGCTGAGGAGCCTTCTAATCAAGGTGAAAGAAGAAAGCGCAAAAGCCGGGTTGCAGCTAAACGTCAAAAAAACCAAAATTATGGCAACAAGAATGATTGACAACTGGAAAATAGAGGGAGAAAATGTGGAGGCCATGACAGACTTTGTATTTCTAGGTGCAAAGATTACTGCAGATGCAGACTGTGGCCAGGAAATCAGGAGACGCTTACTTCTTGGGAGGAGAGCAATGTCCAGTCTCGATAAAATCGTAAGGAGTAGAGACATCACACTGGCAACAAAGATCCGCCTAGTCAAAGCCATGATATTCCCTGTAGTAACCTACGGATGTGAGAGCTGGACCTTAGGGAAGGCTGAGCGAAGGACGATCGATGCTTTTGAGCTGTGGTGTTGGAGGAAAGTTCTGAGAGTGCCTTGGACTGCGAGAAGATCCAACCAGTCCATCCTCCAGGAAATAAAGCCCGACTGCTCACTGGAGGGAAAGATACTAGAGACAAAGTTGAAGTACTTTGGCCACATCATGAGGAGACAGGAAAGCCTAGAGAAGACAATTATGCTGGAAGTGGAAGGCAAAAGGAAGAGGGGCCGACCAAGGGCAAGATGGATGGCATCCTTGAAGTGACTGGACTGACCTTGAGGGAGCTGGGGGTGGTAACGGCCGACAGGGAGCTCTGGCGTGGGCTGGTCCATGAGGTCACGAAGAGTCGGAGACGACTGAACGAATGAACAACCAACAACAACATGGGAAGTAGACTGGGGGGAAATGAGTAATCAGGAATGGGCAAAGATATGAAGTATGAGATTCTAAAAAATATGTCTAAAAGGATTAAGGAAAATTTGGCACCATTACCTGAACGCTCAAATTGGAATACTGATGGTGTTGGGGGGAAATTTGTCATTTGGGAGTTTTGTAATTGCTGGGATTTGTAGTTCACCTGCAATCAAAGAGCCTTTTGAACTCCACCAGCGATGGAATTGGGCCAAACTTGGCACACAGAATTCCCATGACCAACAGAAAATACTGGAAGGGTTTGGTGGGCATTGACCTTGAGTTTTGGAGTTGTAGTTCGCCTATATCCAGAGAGCACTGTGCACTCAATCAATGAAAGATCTGGACTAAACTTGGCACGAATACTCAAATGCGAACACTGGTGGAGTTTGGGGAAAATAGATCTTGACGTTTTGTAGTTGCTGGGATTTATAGTTCACTTACAATCAAAGAGCATTCTGAACCCCACCAATGACAGAATTGGGCCAAACTTCCCACATAGAACCCCCATGGCCAACAGAAAATACTGTGTTTCCTGGTAGTCTTTAGTGACCCCCTCCAGGGGTCCCGACCCCCAGGTTGAGAACCACTGGAGTCTAAGATGTTGTAAAAAGAGGGAAGAATGTATGCTTATACGTTTTGTTTGCTAAATTTATAAAATTTAAAAAAAAAGATCCTGGGAGATGGGGCTTGCCTGGAAAGGCCCTTAGAGAAGGGCTTGGAGGAAAGACCTGGCCTTGGGGGAGGGGAGGGGCATGATTGACAGCTCCCCAACGGCGCCACTCAGGAGGGACGTCACGTGCTCGCGGCCACAACTTCTGAGAAGTTTGCCCCGTCGCTGAAGGACGACGACTCCCCAGGAAGGAAGGAAGAAGCCCCCGCCCCACCCCCGGGAGCCCCAGCCCACTTACCGTGCCCTGCGGCCTCTCTGGCCTGGGTGACTGGGCCGGCGGCGGGGAGGGAAAGTCGAAGGGAAGAAGGGCGAAGGGAAGGACGGAAAGAAGGGGGCGGGGCAAGGGGGCCGACGACTGCGCATGCCCACGCCTGCCGCCGGCGCTGGGAGGCAGGGGAACGCGCATGCGTACTGGCCGGAGCGCGCGAGAGAGGAACAGTCCCAGGGTGCGCGCGCAGGACTTCAACCCTGTCGGGAATGTCTTTGTCTCAACTTTAAAGGGTCTTTCTATGGCGGCCTCTTAATGGCCATGCCGTGGGCGGGCCCCAAACATACACAAGCCATTACCACACGAAACAAAAAACGAAACTGGGAAGCAATACTTCCCCCCCCTCCCCACACACACACACACACTATGACGCTGCTCCTGCTACTACAGGGATATAAACCTGTATTCGCAGCGCTCTTTGGACCATCCTCCAAAAAATTGGGTGCCCTAACAAATTTGTGAACATCCTGCAGCTCCTCCATGATGTCTAGAACAGCAATGGCTCCCAAAGTGATCCATTGAAGATGGAATCAGGTGTCAAACTGGGATGGCACTTCCAAGCCATTAAATGCAAATCACTGTGGTCAGTTGAAACATTCATACCTAGCTCCAACAGACAAGAGTTCTTTGTCCCACCCTGGTCATTCCACAGATATATAAACCCTTTTTTTCCTAGTTCCAACAGACCTCACTACCGCTGAGGATGCTTGCCATAGATGCAGGCGAAACGTCAGGAAAAATGCCTCTAGAACATGGCCCTATAGCCCGAAAAAACCTACAACAGCCCTGGGATGTGTTATTGCCCCAAACTTATTTTCTATCTTCATCGCTATGATACTTCATCTTGTTGATGGGAAGCTTCCCACCGGAGTGGAAATCATCTATCAGACAGATGGCAAACTATTTAACCTCAGCAGACTGAAAGCCAAAACCAAGGTCACAACATCTGTTATAGAACTCCAATATGTTGATGACAACGTTGTCTGTGCGCATTCAGAAGACCTACAAGCCACTCTAAACACCTTCGCAGAAGCATACGAGAAGCTCGGCCTGTCATTAAACATCGAGAAAACCAAAGTGAACTCAGAAAAGCCAGTTCAAAGCAAATATTGTGGGATTTTCTGCTTTGATATTCTGGGATATAGGGCTGTGTGGAAGGGCCTTGGAATCTCTAGTTAGTCGGTGAAGTGAGTTCTTATAATAAATAATAATAACTTTATTTTTATACCCCGCCAATCATCTCCCCTAGGGGACTCGGGGTTGCTTACTAGGGACAAGCCCAAGATTACAATTAAAACACACAAGTAAAACACTTTAACCATTTAAAACATCAGATAAAACAAATACAAAACAATTGAAAGCAATATAAAAAGATTATGGCTGAAAGAAACATAGCTGAGATACAGATTCAGTTAGTGCAATACATTTTTACAGGAGCACGGGAAAGAGCAGCAATACAGTAAACTCTGCAGGAAATACTGTCATAACACATGCTGAGGTAGATCATATGCGAGCCGGTGTAAAGTGCGAGCCGGTGTAAAGTTTGAGTAACTTTTAAAATTGTTTGATTAACTTTTTAAAAAATCACACTGCCTCCATTGTCAGTCCTCCATAACCATGCTTGAAAATACTCCATGCACACACACGCACAAATATCCCAAAAGCAAGCCTTTTGATTTAGCCATTTTATATAAGGGACAGCATTATACTATGCCATTGTATTTAATGATACTTGGGCGTCCTCCAAGTTTGCTATCCATAGTGGCCCTTGAACAAAACCCCAGTGAACATTAAGGGCCCACTGTAATAAAATCCTAAAAGTTTACAGCATATTCAGGTTGCCTGAAGTATAATAATACTGTATCTGATACTGTGTTCTCTCAAATGCCTAAAAGCACAGCAGTATATTTGTTACTCCTTCTAAGGTACTACAAAGTTCTTTGCTGTTAATATTATGGGTAGACTCCATAAAACAGTATCTCAAAGGAACTGTAGCTGTTCACAGAAGTTTGAATAACAGAAAGAAATACTGTTGCCTTAAAAACATTCAATATAACTATACTATAGAGGTTTCCGACAGTATGGTTTATTACCCAACACTCTGGCAACTTCTGGAAACACTACCAGCTGCCTGAGTATAAAGTCACCGAACTTTATGTAACACTGCTTCTTCAACGGGAACATAACGATAGTATCAAAAAGCCATTAGATTTGCATTACAGCACCATCTGGTTGCCATCAATAATTTCAACAACAAAGCAGATAATGACAGAAAACAGCAATTCTCTCCTCTGGTTTCTTACCTTGAAATGCAACAATATGGAAGAACTGAATAAGATCATAGTTAAAACTTTAAAGGCCAACCCTTGCCGTTTGTATATTGATCCACACACAGAGAGAGTCCCAGGGGAACAAGGTTGTCATGACAAGATAGAATCAAATTACATGGCCTTTCCAAACCTTCCCTGACTTTGTGGAGTCAGGCTTGAGGTCAAAGCTCAAAAAATGTAAGTTCATTTCTCTCTTTAAAATATATATGAACAGTATACATTTACTTTCAAAATATGCAATAATATATATTTAGGGAGGGGAAAATAAATAGATATGTCCATCTATTGAAATAAAATTAATAGTAAAATAGCACCTGCATGTAAACAACAAATGGAGGAAGAAATGAAATGATAGAGCACCTATTCTTAAATTAACAAAGGATGGCTACCGACATATATACTGGATACGTTGAAAGTGTACCTCCAAACTCACAGAGCAGTAGTTCTCAACATTTTTTTTCTCACCAGGGACCACTCTCCAACATTAGTACCAAAAGATTTATGAATCGGTTTTTGGTCAACTTTAGATTTGGTTCGGTTAACTTGGGGTGCTGATTCAGAAAATTGCATTGGATAGACCACATCAGCTCTAGTTTCTGATACAAAACATGTGCCATCCAGTAGTTGCCATCTGTTTGCCCACAGAAAAACCATATTTAACAATCTAGATCTGATGGGGTCTATCCAATGCAATTTTCTGAATCAGCGCCTCAAATAACCTCAGGAACAGGTGTAAAAACAAAGACACCAAAGCGCACCCACTTCCAGGTGCTACATGGAACGGCTCCGCTCCAGGGGAAGGAAGAGGAGGAGGAGAAGCAGCACTAAAGAGGCACCTTTCCTGGGTAGTCAGCCTCTCCCCTCCCGACATCTTCATTGCCTTGGCACTGTTGGGGGTTTCACAACATCAGTCGCTCTCGTTCCAATGGTGTAGTAACAATGAAGCTGCATACCATATTTTATTTATTGCGGATGACTGGTGGTCCACGGACAACAGGTTGAAACCACTGTCATAGAGGGATCTCTGTGGTCAGAAAGGAATCCCCCCTCTTCAACACTATTAAGGACTTGGGGCATGTCTAGAATCTGTATCCTAAACTCAAAAAGGCCCAAACAGAAGTGGGGCAAGGATGGAGAATCATCCACATTGGGAAGTATCCACAGCTTCAACTGCCAAATAACACATGCAAAATATATTAAATATAGATAACAGAAAGAGTAACTGTCAAAGACATTATATGACAGTATATAGTCTCATAAAATCCCATTCAAAGCAGATAATGTGGATTATCTGACTGAATAATCTGGATTATACGGCAGTGTGGAAGGGGGGGGGGCACAGTTTAATGTTTTGTTTACCTTGGGAGTCTCAGAAGGAGCCTTGAGGGACATCGCCTGCCCTTCCTCATGCTTGACCTATGGTGACCACAACTCCACAGGGCAGCTCCCCTGGAGGACCACTAGGTAATATAATGCGGAAAAACAAGAAATTCGGAATGTACAGGTTACTGGGTGCCAATTCGCTCAACTGCAAAGCCTCACTCCCATGATAGAAAACAAGGGACCAAAAACTTTCAGTCTAGTTGTGGGTCAGGAGAGTTTCCCTCCCTTCCCTTTCTGCTGGCCACAAACAGTGCCAGCACTGCCTTCTTGTTCTGATTCCAGCCCGATTTCATTGTTGCTTTTAGAACTGTAARTGATTTAAAGCCACAGTAACATCCAATGCAAGGTAACACATGGCTTCAGGCAGCCAAAGAATGCTCTCTTTGGACTGCAATGGGACTCCATACAGTGCTCCTCCTTCCCAGTATGTGCTGGAGTTTACAGACAGTCCCCAAGTTACAGACATCCAACTCACAGTTAAGAAAAGGGTGAGACATGTACCCCTCGGAAAAGAAATTCACTCCTGGGAGAGTTATCATGGGGAAAGGGGGTCTCCACTGAAGCTTTAGCACCAGTCCTTGTTTCCGCAACAAGCCAATTGTCTCAAAATCCAATTATCAACAGGACAGAAAATTAGGTCGAATGTTCTGAAGAGGGGCACAGACAGCAAAGCAAACCCCACTAGGGGTGTTCACCCTTCTCTATGCGAACCAAAGCTAATATATAAACTTGGATATAAATTGGAATAGGTTCATTTTTAAGTATAACTCCAGCCATATATATGCCTATTTATTTCCCCCTCCCTAGTTTTGGTTGTGGACAGTAGGACGGTGAGAGTGGAAGAGCAAAACATCCTTCCATTGTCATGGTCTGACCACCATCTGATCAGTTTTAGACTTGCTGTGTCCTCTAACCTTCGCAGGGGTAGAGGACCAACTAAGATGGTCTGCCCCAGGAGACTGATGGATCCGGATTGATTCCTGAGGAATCTTGGGGCTTTTCTTGTCATGGAGCCTGGCAATTCTGTCGACACCCTGGTTGACCGATATAATAGTGAAATGGCCAGGGTGATAGACTTGATCGCTCCCGAACGCCCCCTATTGTTGTGTAGAGACACACCATCTCCTTGGTTCACTGGGGAGTTGGCTGTGATGAAGCGCACGAGGAGGCTAGAGTGCAAATGGAGGAAAACTCAGGATGTATCTGACCAAACACGGGCTAGAGTCTCACTTAAGACCTACTCTGCAGCTATACGGGTAGCCAGGGAGACGTTCACGACTGCCCGCATAGCGTCTGCTTCTAATAGATCTTCGGAGTTGTTTCGGGTCATTGGGGAACTCTTT